GTCAGAGCTGTTGGGACTCTAGTGTTTGCCCCTCTCTCTGACACCTGCTTCTCTCACCCCAGACCCTGCTTCCTGAGTGCCACACACAAAGGAACAAGACATCCACCACTATCCTCTGTCCTCTCCTAAACAGAGTTGTATGTGTCCCTCTCCCTAAACCAGAAAACAAAGGGTCAAGATGGCTATAACTTCATCCTGTCAGAGCTCTGACAATTTCTTGAAGACTTGGAACAGGCAGGTAGCACTGGGGCACTGGGGTACCAGGCACTTCCCAGTGATGTACTGGGAAGAGGCCCCACTCCTGGGCTAGTCCAGGCTGGGCCATGCTGGAGCAGAGGCTGATTTTCCCTTCATCTGAGTACACTTGAAGATGGCTGGTATTGCTGGAGGCCTGGCTACCAGGGTTCTCTGTCCTAGGTTAATTTGAGATATGAATGCAAAGGCTCCAACTTGACCTTGAAGTGGAGTTGCTGAAGGGCTCAGGAGCCTGAGACATGGGAAGAAGAGGGCCGGCTGGGATATTCACCTGCCTGCCCATCCTCTTCCTAAGGAGATGCCAGTTGGAGGCTTATTCCTTCCTCCTGACACAGCCTGAGAGAGCAGTGTCACTTGACCTCGGGGCACATTCCAGAATGAGGGCACAGCCAAGAATAGGACCCAGGAGCCCTGCCACCCATCCCGCCTGCATTACTCACACATTCTCCAGAGAGGAGGAGGTGGGAGCTCTAGACTCCTTGGGTGGGGGTGGAAGAAAAGGAGGAGGAACAGGTACAGGAAGGGGACTGAGAAGAAGTGGGCAAGACCCCTGAGGTATCCTTCTTGGCTCACATAGTATGGCAGCCCCACATGGTCCTCCTCTTGAATCCATGTTCATCCAGCAAAACCCCTCGTGAGTTCTAAGATGGATCCACACCAGGCCTGGAGCACCTGTTACTTTAATCTGGGTCAACACTAGCCTGCAGGAAGATCAGACTTGGAGAGGAGGCTGAGGCAGCCTGGGGATAGCAGAGGCTTCCTGGAGGATGAGGAGGCATAAGGCTGATGTCCTGCTCAGGAATCTAGGCTGTGACTGCAGCAGTGTGTGATGGAAACTCATGTCACATGGTTAGTTTGTAAACAGCTCCAGGGTGGCACGTGGCATGGCTGACTGACTGGAGGCAGGCTCTGCAGAGGTATTTGGGTTCCAGCTCCCACTCCTCACTGCCCAGCTAGGGCGGGGTGTGTAGTGTGTGTGTATGTGTGTGTGTGTGTGTGTGTGTGTGTGTGTGTGTGTGTGTGTCTTGCATGCACTAGGAGAAATATTACACAAGCACTCAGAGTTGTCAAATCAAACTGGCAGGCTGGATACAACCCTTGATTTTGCCTTTTGGCAGCTGTGTGATCATAGGCAAGTTTCTCTCTCTCTCTCTCTCTTTCTAAAAAGGCGCTGTGTGTGGTCTCTATGGTTCTCTCTCGCTCTCTCTCTCTCTCTCTCTCTCTCTCTCTCTCTCTCTCTCTCTCCCCGCCCCATCCTTCCACCATGTGGGACCCAAGGATCGAAGTGAGGTCACCAGGCTTGGTAGCAAGTACCTTTACCCACTAAGCCATCTCACCCACCCTCTGCCTTATTTTTGAGACAGGATCTCTTACAATCTGGAGCTCACAGATTCGGCTACACTGGCTGGCCTGGAAAACCCCCAGTATCCTCCTATATGCCCCCCAGAAACAGCCAAGAGACTTACTGTCCCCCTTCCCCAGTTAGGTTAGAACTGGGATTATGGGTCATACCCAGCTTTTTACAAGGGTTCTGGGGCTCTGAACTCAGGATCCCAAGCTTGTGCAGCAAGCACTTTACTAAGCCATCTCACCAATTCCTCTTTATTTTTCTCTCCTTTTGTTTTGCTTTACCTTTGTTTTTGAGACATAGCTTTGCTATGAAACCTAGGCTGGCCTCTGGTTCTCAAGTACTGGAACTGTAGTCCCATGCTGTAGTGCATGGCTAGGCAAATTTCTTATTACTGTAGCCTTTTCTCACCTACAAAATGCATTGTGCCTCATTTGATCTCAGAACATACCACAAGAGATGGGTTCAACGGTACTGCCACACAGTACACTCAGTTCAGCCTGATATTACTATAATAGGGTGGCTGGAGTTCATAGCTGAAGGAAACAGCCAAGAGACTTACTGTCCCCCTTCCCTAGTTAGGTTAGAATGTCGCCTAGCACTTGGGCGACTTTCTGGCTCCACTGTCCAGGGGATGACATCAGACTAGGGAGCAGCTGGCCAGACAATGGAGCAGAGTGTCCTAGGAGGCTGGGGGTTCAGGAAGAGGGAGGAGGAGGGTAAACAAAGCCACGGTGCCAGGCTTGGGGGTTGTGGGGGGGAGTTTGCTGGTCTAGTAACCACCAGGCCTGAAGAGATGAGAAAGGAAGAGAAGGCCTGGAGAACAGGCTAGAGGTAAGGAGAGTCACATAGCCTGGAGGAGGGGAAGAGTGAATTCCAGGGCAGACAGAAAAACATGACACTGGCCTTGTAGCAGGTGGCTTCAGGTTCCCTGTATCCTGGAGTTGGGGTGGGGTCATGTCTCCCAGGTTGAGCTAGGTAACCTCTGTAAGCTGTCTGGCAACCCAGCCCTGGGAACTCATACTGAGAACCTGCTCATTGTCAACCATTACATAAGGCCCAGGGCAGCAAAGATGAAAAGATAAGGCAGGGTTTTGAGGAGAGAGAAATTAATCTGACATTGTAGGTCAGGAATTGGATAGCCTCTCAACTGACCATTCCCTTGGTGCTCATATCTCTGAACCCCAAATCAGCCTATGTGAGGTTCTCATTTGGCATGTCCTCTGTGAGCAACAGGGGCCTGTGAAGCCCAAGACTCAGAATGATGAGGAGAGGGTGTTGGGTCTGGGACCTGTCCTTGGACAGGGAGCTGCAGAGGGTGGAAAGGCCACTTCACACCAGACTATGGTTCCTACAAGGGTAATAGGTTGAATACCAAGTCCTAAGCATTATTATTACTAACCAGGCATGGCAGAGCAAGCTTGCAATGCCAGCACTTGAGAGACAGAGGCAAGAGGATCATGAGTTTGAGGCCACCCTGGACTGTAGAGTAAGTCTGAGGTGAACTTGAACTACCCAGAGAGACTCTATCCAAAACAAAACCAACTAGGGAGATGGCTCAGTGGGTAAAGTGCTTGCCTCATAAACACAAGGGCTTGGGTTTTAATCCCCAGAACCCATATAAAGCTGGTGCATCTGCACTTACACACATGAACATGCACATTCATGCATGCATGCATACATATACACACAGAAAGAGAGAGAGAGAGATTAAATAACAACAATAAGCTAGCAGTGTGCTCTTATAACTAAGTGTTCTCATTAACGCCTCCATACGGATAAGGACGAAGAGGCTGAGAGACAGCAAGTAAGTGGGTAGAGCCTGGATTCAGATCTAGGTGAGCTTCCACGCTATGAGCCTGGCACTATGGGTGACTCCCCTGAACTTCCCTCTCCACCACAGAAGCAGAACATAGAGTTGGGCCCAGTCATGGGGCTCAGGCCCACATTTGTGCAAGTGAACTAAAGTGTCAGGTGACCCCTGTGACTGGTGAATGGGCAGCTGCCCATCAGGCTCTACAACTATTTCTTAGGCATCTTGAACTAGAAGCAGGTTAAGCAGATGTTCCTCAGCCTCTAGGGACAGAGTGAGGTGACAGTCCTCACCCTCCCTAGTGAGGGCTAGCTTTGGTTCATGGCCTCCTGGTGGCTAGGTTATAGGCTCAGGGTCCTCTAGTGATGGTGTAAGGAGCTCCCACCCCCTAGCCTCTCCTCTCAGGGAACAGAAGCTCCCCACCCCCCACCCCCCATCTCCCTTCAAGCTCATATACTTGAGAGTGACTGACCTGGGCTAGGCTAGACCTTGCCTGGATTTCTTTTTTGAATATGACCCTGGAAAACTCAGGGAACTGCAGGGGAGAGGTATCTCTTTTGAGGGACAGACCAACTATGGGTTCTAGACACTTGTCAAGTCTGGGAAACAACAGTGAGTCTCCTTGAGGCCAAAGATGCTGTTGCCAACATTGTGAGAACTCAGCAGGCCCTGAGCACCCTGCAGACCAGGCCTCATCCTGAAGTCCCCAGGGGGTCACAGCCAAGCAGCTGCCTGCCCCACTCTCATCTCTCTCACTGTCTCAACTCTGGACTCCACAGAATAAGTGGCAGCCTCTGGTATCTGCCCCTGATCCCCCACTGTACTAACAGGAAGAGGGCACTAAGATCATATGTCAGGGCCCAGCCCTCCCAGCCTGTAACTGTGGACAAGTCTCCCTGCCTTGCTAGTTCTGTTTTCTCATGCTGATTCCACAGAACTGTGCTGAGCACTGTAGTTAAGAAGCCTCAGAGGCAACCTGGCTATCCACTGTGTCCCTCCACAGCCTAGATATGGTCCCATTGGTCAGACTTCCCTCCTAAAAGGTCATCAGAGGAGGCTGGAGAGATGGTGAAGAGCACTGGCTGCTCTTGTAGAGGACCTGGTTCAATTTCCAGCACCCACATCTTTAACTTCAGTTTCAGGGAATTTTGACAGCCTCTTCTGACCTCTGCAGGTATTACATGCACGGGTACACTTACATACATGCACACAAAACATTCATACACATAAAATTTAAATAAATAGAGGCTGGAGATTAAAATAAACTAAAATAAATAGGGGTTCGGTGGTTAAGAGCTCTGGCTGCTCTTGCAGAGGACACAGGTTCAGTTCCCAACACACACGGCAGCAAACAATCCTCCATAACTCCAGTTCCAGGGGATCCAACAGTCTCTTCTGACCTCCACAACACTGCATAACACGGATGCACTTATATATATGTAGACAATATACTCATACACAAAAATAAAAATAAATAAAATTTCTTTTTAAATTAATAAATTAAAAGATCATCAGAGCTAATGGCACATCCACCACTCCTCCCTCACTTCCCAGGAGTAGCCTAAAAGAATCACACAGGTAGGATGGCTGGCATTGTGAGTATTTATTTGGTATCTTCCTCCTTATATTTGAGGAAGAAATGAAGGCATCCCACAATGATTTGGAGGGGTGTGGACAGAATGAAGGGCTGAGGAGGGAGCAGGGCAGATGCAGAGCTGACAGTGGAGTGCCAAGTCCTCGGCCTAGTTAGTGCCTTCCTGGCTAGGAACCACACAGGAATCTGGAAACAACAGTGACCAAAGAGCTGCCACATCTCCAAAAGGTCCCTCCCAGGCTCCACCTAGATAGATCCTCCCTCCTGGTCCCTGCAGGCTCCCAGAATGACCACCAGATGGTAGCATCAAGCAACATTCTCTCTCCCTACTCCTGCTTTCTCTCTCATTCCTCCACAGCTGCCTTGCCAGCCCTTCCTCTTCCTTATTTCTCTTGCTATCAAAACAGATCCTGGGGTTTCTCTGCATTGAATTCAAGGAAATCAGCGACATATGAGTGTAAGCATCTGATGGATGCTTCCATCAGATGGAAGTGTCTGACAGCTGTCTGGGCAGACACCAGGGGACCCTGGGATTAGGACTTTGTGCTTTGGTGCTGAATGTGGAACAGTGACAGCTTTCTATGGGCCTAGCACCTGGCACTCAGGAAGTATCCACTGAACTGATCTGAACAGAACCAAAGTAACAGACTGGTGTAGTTAAGAAATGTGGGTTCTGCTGGCAATGTGATGACTTTAGGGATGCAGACTGACCCCACTGAAGGCAGCTATCCCTAAAGCCTCTACTCAGGACAAACTATATCCTGGGTTGGACTGTGCCACTGCTCACAATTCTTAATGCAAGGAGGCCATGGCGAAGACATATGGAGGGGTGCTTGGGCTCTCTTATCTCTCCCCACATACCCTTCTGTGCAAGCCAAACCATTTAATAATGTAGGAGCCAGCTCCTCTTGACCCCTGGCTGGGAGACTGGGTAGAAGGGAGTGAGGCAGCAAAGGGGGATGAGACTACCTGACAGAGAGGCTCATGGGAAATAATTTACGTCCTTTACCCCCCAATCCCACCCATCTAAAAAAGGACATGGATCCCCTATTGAACCCAAAAAAATAGAAGTTGATCTAAGACCCTTGGTGGCTTTTCTCCCACATGTTGGCTGATGTCTCCCTGATGGCTCAAGACTGCCTAATCTGATCTTGCCCTGGTTGCTGACTGAGGGCATGGGGTAGATAGATGGAGGAGGGCCAGGGTGGATGGGCCAGCTTCAGTGCAAGCCTGGGAACTCCTTGAGAACGTCACAGGTCTTTTTGTGCATGACCTCGCGGAGCTTCCTGACCCGCCGTGCACTAGATGCACCTACAAAGCTGTCAGGTCTCAGCATGGCCATACCACCCTCCACCTCCCCCATGATAATGAGCGGTGTCTCACCCACCGTCACATTGGGACAAGGGCAGGCCCAGTCTACATGAAGCAGAGTGACCTCCAGTGGCTCCCGGCCCAGGAACTTGAGGCCCATCTTCTCATCCTTTAGGACCTCATCCACAGTCACCAGGGCGCGGCCTGAGTCAGGCTCCTCGGTCATCTCAGAGACCCTGCCCAGGATGACAAAATCACTCCGACAGAAGCTGGTGACGAGTTTCTGCCGTGGTTTGCAGGCCCGACAGTTCTGGTTGCCCCGTGGAAAGGGACACGACTCCTCACAGGCCTCCCGACTTTCAAAGTTGTTGTCATTGCCCTCACAGCCACCATAGATGAAGGACTGGCACTGGCCTGTCTGGCTGTTGTAGGCCCAGCGTGGCGCATAGGCTTTGCAGGGCCCCTGCAGGGCAGGCAGGCTGCATGTGGCCAGCGGCCCACTCATGCAAGCCAGCATGCAGGCTTCGTAGGTCTCAAAGTGGTTGAGGTTGCGATGGCAGTGGCCAAAGGTGAAGGTGAGGCAGTTATTAACCTGGGCGTCAAAATGCCAGCGTGTCTGCTCCTCACCGCAGTCTTCACTGTCTGGAGGCTTCAGGCACTCAGCTGTTGGGAAGGCTGTGCCATTGAGATTGCTCTCTGATGTGGTGCCAGCCTGACCCCCCCTGATGACAGACAGTGGGAAGTCAGCCCTCAGAACCCCAGCAGCATTCTGGGCTGTGCAGGTGTAGATGCCGGCATCCTGGGGCTGAGCGTTGTAGATGACCAGCTGGGCAATGTTGGTAACCACCACATTGCCACGCACATGATTGGGCTTCATGACCACATTCTCCCGATCCTCCAGTTGCTTCTCCCAAGTGAGCTCAGGCCGGGGCCGGCCCACCACGTCACAGAGGAAGCTCACTGTCTCACCCACAGTGACCGATTGATGGACAGGGTGATTGAGCAGGGCTGGGGCTGCCATGTCTAGCCCCAGAGTTTCTGGAGAGGCCGTAGTAGGATGCACAGTAGTCTCAGGTGGTGGGGGACTGGTGTTGGGCCAGGTGAAGTGATAACGGCAGGTGACCACAGCCAACGTGATACCCTTGGAGCATGCCTCAGCATCCATGTAGCAGCGGTTGTAGTAGGTGAGGCCGTCTGAGGCACAGGTGAAGCTAGGCTCCTTCTCACAACGATCTTTGCATTTGCACACAGGCTGTCCGTCCCAGATGTCACATTCAGAGCCCTGCTGCAGACACATGAAGTGGTCACACGTGGCCTCCTTGGGCATGCCCACAGGGCCCTTCTTCCCTTTCACATCCATGTAGCGGGCTGCTACACAGCTCTTGGTCCCACACACATTGGGGCAGCACTTCTCATAAGTCTCGCATTCCTGAAAGACCAGAGAGAGAGAAAGAGAGTTCTGTTCTGAACTGAAAGGAGAAGGAAGGATGAACAGACTCCTATATCTCCCCCAGGGTTGTGGCATGGGAACTCACACATACATGTATGCAAACGCACACCTACTGTGAACCAGGCCCTGTCTAGAAACTCTGTCATCTGTCAGCTTATTGTGCTCTTCCAAGCTTAAGCGGGGAGGGGTGTGCAACCACTATTCCCACTTTATACACAATGATACTAAGACACAGAGAGGTTAAGAAACTTGCCCAAGGTCACATGGCTGGTAGTGTGGGAAGACGTGGGTCACAGACCTCTAAGAAGAGATATGTACTTACTACTATTTCCAAGATGAGAACATAGAGAGGCAGAGAGGTGACACCCAAGTCACAGAGATGAGAGGTGACACAAAAGGGCTCTAACTCCCTTAAGTGAGACCCTGGAATCCAGTGCCATATGGCTATCAAATAAGGCATATAGGCTTATAGCATGAGGTTGCCTTTTTGTCTGTTTGCCTTTGGGGTTTAGGATGTGTTGGTTAACTTAAAGAAGTTACATCTGTGACCCATGTTCAAGGCTATCAACACTTATCTTCCCCGAAAGACACCAACACACACTGAACCCTAGATGCCAGCTCTGGTGGCCCGTAACAGACCCTTGTGACCAGAAACAAAAAGTCCTCCTGGTGACAAAGGATATACGTGCATCAGCAAAGCCTTGCCAGCCTGTAATTCCCCGCTGACTTCTCTGGAGCCACATAAGGCTTTAGTTTAATTCCTCAAAATTAGCACATGCTGCTGGAGCCGACACAAACACAGATCGCATGTGGCGCTTTCCACAATGTCACATCGTACTGCTGGGAGGGGGCCGTCCTGCTAATCCTCCACCAGGTAGTGACTGCGTGAATTAGACCTCACCACACTGGCCTCTTGTCCTTCCGACTTTGATTCCAGACTCTTTGACATTCCACATGAGCTAAGAGGGGGAAAATACCCCCCACCCCGGCTGTGTGGAGCCGCCTGCTTGACTTGTTTACTGTTCTCCCCTTTTCGGCTCAGAATGGGGACTTTGTTTTGCAGCCCTTGTTTGGCATAGGCTTCTAGGCCACACCAGGGGAGGCTTGGGGACAGGGATGGGTCACACCCAGAGCTGAGGCCAGAGAGAGAGAGAGAGAGAGAGATCTTGAGAATGGAGGATGGACAAGGACACAGGGAGCTGTGGGCAGAAGAGCTTGTTCCTTGGCCTGGGGATTACCACATTCCCTAAGTTACTGTGGCTAGACAGTTCCTTGAGGGCCCAGAGGTCCAGGAGTGGCTGGGGCCTCAGGGACTGGGGCCATGGGGACCAGGGAAAGGAAACCTGGAGGTGATCCTTAGAATACATTTCTCTTAAGCAGCTGCAGTGGACCCATAGGCTACCTGAATCCCTAGCAGCATGCAGGTGACTTGCCCAGCAGACACCCAAAGTCAACCAGAGTCCCACTGCCCTCAATTCCTACCTGACTTCAGGTCAGCCAGTATCTGTGAAAGAGACTTCCCAAAGGTAGCCATCTGATAGCAAAACCTCCTTAGATGGGAGAGTCACTATCTCTCCCCACTGCTTTTTCCTCAACACTACCATCATGCACTGGAACATCTGTCCTGAGAGACCTCAGAACTGTCCCCAGGGAATGTGAGGCAGAGACTACTCCAGGGAAGCCCCAGGCTCTCCCCAGTGTAACCAGTCACTTGCAGAAGCACCAGGGCCTCTCATATTCCTTAGTGATGCCCAGACCCAAAGCCCTGAGAGACTCTGGACCACCCTCAGAGCTGGTCAGACTAGGCAGGAAGTGGCTGTATTCAGAGCAGGCACAGGTACCACCGGCCTCCCTTCTGGGAGGATGGACAGGGATAGCTTTTGGGAGTACCTGCCTGGCAGCTTGAGAGAAATGCCTGAAAGAGGCCCTGCCTGTTGCGGCACCCTCAGGTGAGGAGCAGAAGGGTATACTGAGGACCCCACAGGTGAGAACTCAGCCTGCTTCCCTCCAGGACACCCAGAATATCTGGCCAGGCCTGCTTCTGCCCACCCTGTGCATCGGCTTCATTGCTGTGTGGGTCAGGTTCAAACTTGGAGAGAGGGCTGTAAGCTAGAATGAACAGCAGCCGTGGTCTAAGATAGCCAGTTTTCCAAGTGGACCTCACTGGCCAAGGCATCACTCTTGAGTATCCATTCTCCCACCTGTGAGTGGACAGCTGACACCCACCCTGCTGGTGTGTCATTCTGATCCATACTGTGTCTGGCACAGTGCTGGCCCCCAGCATCCCCTAGCAAACAGGAAGAGGAACCCTCCAAGAGGAACTTGGACATCACACCCTCTTCTTCCAGGCCTCCACTGTAACATCAAGCCCTGTCTGCAGGTGGGCCGGATCTGTTTTCCTTCGGGTTTCTGGAAGCACTTCTGAGTCCTCCCCACACCATGGCTCCTACCCCCTCACTGACCCACTCACATGGTCCATCTCTGGTTTTGGGATTCCCACTCACCTGGTCTGTTTCACACTCTCGCTTGCAGGTGCTCTGGGCATCCACCCAGAGGTTGGGGTTCATGTCGTTGGGGCAGATGCCTGCATGGGAATAGCGGATGGGCGGCAGTGCCAGGCCTCTCAGGGGCACCCCCAGCAGCAGCAGCAGCAGCAGCAGCAGCCCCCAGTGTAACCAAGATCGATGGCACCCCAGGGCCCACATGGTGTGGTCTGCAGGGGCCACAGGGCTCCACTGTGATGACATCAGGGGCTGAGGCCCACCAGGGCCTCCCTCTCCAGGGCTGGCGACACCTGCCCTCCCTACCCCAGCAGGTCTCCTTGCTGAGGCTTCTGCGCTGGCGGCTGCCGTGGCTGCCTCCACCAAGTGCAGCCTGCTGGGCTGCGCGGCTTCAGATAAAAGAAAGGTCTTTGGAAGGAAACTCCGTCTCCGGGGTGTGCAGGGAGAGGAACACAGCAGGGGCCTGAGCCTGGATTTATATCCTGGGCGCGCCACCCGAGTGGGAGCGAGCTAACCTGATGCCTGTGACAGGCAGGCTGCTGGCGCCTCTGTCCCGTGGCTGATCACAGAATTATTGCAGAAGGGGGAAAAAGCTGGAAGCAGTTTAGGCAGCAGTATCTGGCACGGTGGGACACCTGCTTGTTTTTGACTCCAGGAGGCCTTTTAACCCTTTCCAGGGCCAGAAATGGCATGTGCTTTAGGGGGGCGGGGGGGGGCGGGGGGAGCTGGCCCCAGGACACGCAGGCTCACTGCAAGGCAGGTTTGTTTCCCTTTCCTCCACCTCCTCGGGGCCAGGCCCCCTCCTCCCCTTCGGCCACCTCTAAAGAACACACAATCGCTTGTTACAAGGAGGGACCTGAGCTGCTGGGTTAGCGTCGCCCAGCTCGGTAGTACATTTGAGAGCAAATGACGTGGAAAAACAAGTTCACGGCCATTCCAGGGCGGGCCTGAGCAGCGCAGCGCTGTGCTGTGTAAGCTGACTCCCACCCCAGCACCAGGTCCCCTTGTCGGGGGGTGTGCACGCGGACAGCTCTGTATCTCTGTGTTCCAGGCAGACCTAGTCTTAAGTTCCAACTTTGGTAAAATCCCCCCCAAATCATTCCAGAGAGACATACCAGATATGCTCCGGCTCCCCCGGCTGCTGGGCCAGATCACATTCCTCCCTCCAAGTCGACACACTTGTCGGCTCCAAGAAAACTGGTGCGGTAACAGTGTCCCAGGGCTGCACCACACACACCACCAACCTGCCCTCACCCGGGGCCCACAGTGGTCCCTCTTTGGTAAGCTCTTCCTGGATGCCAGACACTGGGCATGTGTGACCCTGCTACCCTCCACTGTGCACAGGGAAAGATTTCTGGGGGATGACTGTAAGCAGTTCACCCAGGGTCCCCATAAACAGCAATCATAAAACCAGTTACCACTCCTTACATGCCCAGACTTTCCAATCGTCATTCCATTTAAGCCTCACAGTGAAGTGTAGTTTTAGATTTAAGGAAAGGATGTACAGTGAAGCTAGGCAACTTGCCCTGTGTCACACAGTAATTAATACAGGACACTGGGGAGCAGCTTGCTGGGTGTGGGTAGGGGCCTTTTGAAACCACCCCTCCCCATCCATCTGCCAGAATTGCTATCAAGGTACAGCCCAAAGTCTGAGTTTTACACAATGGTCAAGAAGTTTTCGAAAGACAGGGATTGTATGTGTGGAGGATCTGGGAAGAAAGCCAGAAGCTGCCAGGGGTCAGAAGTAATTTCTGTCTCAGTAGGTTGAGGGTGTCTGTTGATCATTTGATGCTAGAGTGCTGGGGGAAATAGAGCCTGGATAAAAGAGATGCCTTTTCAAGGACAGGTCAGGCCAGGGAGGAGTGGAGGGCAGACTGAACTGCAGTAGTAGGTAGCAGGTAGGTGGTTCGAAGGCAAATTCAGGGACCCTCAGCTGCACTCTCAATGTTCTGAAACAAGGAAACTGATGACCCAAACCCAGGTCTACAGCTCCCCATCCAAGTAGATTGTAAAAAGTCTGCATGACCTGTTTTCTACTGACTCTGCCTCTTCCTAGCTCAGCGGGGTGCTGGTTTCTTCTCCTCCAAGCCAGTTCCTTCCCATTATGTGAGTTGTGGGTCCTTCTGCAAGACCTGTCTTCTCTGCTGATGTCAAAGTGCTAATGAAGGGGGTCAGATCCTGATCCACTAAATTATCTGACCACACCTCCCAGGAGGCCATTTCTAGTAATGAAGCCAGACAGGGGGTGACTCCGGCTGCTTTGAATTCCCTGTAATTTCATAAGCCATGTTCCAGGAGCCTTCATACAGCCCTGGCCTGGCTGTGGCTTGCTCAGTTTCCTGTGATACCATGAAGGAAAATGGATGGTCACATGTTTCTAAGCAGCACTTAGAGAAAGTGTCACCACCCCATTATGCCCAGGATAAGCATTCAAGGGGAGGAGGCTGGGTGTCTGGGGGATCTGCCAAGGCCATAAGAGGGAGAGATGGGAGGACTAAGGGAGCCATGTCTATCCCAGCCCCACTTTCAGAGTTGTATGGGAGAGGAAATTGAGTCACTGGGAAGTCACGGGCCTAACAGTGGTCCCACAGCCGCAGAGCCATGGCCCAATCCCTCCCTATCTACATGACCCACACCTGTATTTTTACATGCTCCACACAGCCCAGTAAGCTTTCTGCCCCTGCTAAGGCCACATCCTCCCCCTGAAACTTGTCTCTAAAGCTGTTCTGAAGTCCCTCCCTATGGGCCCCTCCTTCCTCTTCAAGCATCTCAGTGTCTCTCTCACACACCCAAAGAAGGTGGTCCCTGCCACTCAGCCCCATTGTACACCAGGCTCCCCATGGGGAATGAATGTTGGGCTGAGCTGCTAGACAGAAGCCTGGCTAGGGCTGGTCTGTGGGTATCTCTGTGTCACGCTTTCCCAGAAGACATGGGCCTCAGTTTCTCAACCACAGCACACAAGAAGCAAGATGGAGTGATGGGCTCCGGTCTGTCTTAGAAGACCCTCTTCCTACCCTGAACCTTCATCTTCCTCAGGGTAGGCTCAAGACCTGCTCTGAGGTGTCCCTGGTGGGAGGTCACCCTCACCCCGTCAGTGAACTCTGGGTGATCCTTGACCTCAGGCTCACCCTGAGCTTCCTGAGCCACTGGGGTCTTGACAGGGCAACACACTGACACCATTGCCCAAATCAGCCAGCTCCACCCTGTTTCAGCAGTCTCACATTTGGCTATAGTAGACCCAGAGACCCATGGCAGCCTCTCAGGACACCACGGTACTCAAGCACAAGCCACACCTCTCACCTTTCACTGTATCTGCTCCCTCTTTCACCATCTCATTTCTCTCTTCAAATGGTTTTTTAAAAAATATTTATTATTTTATTTTATGTGTATGAATGTATTGCCTGCATGTGTATAAGTGCACCTATGTTGTGCAATACCCACAGAGGTCAGGGGAAGGTGTCAGATTCCCTGGACCTGGAGTTATTGATGGCTGTTAGCTGCCATGTGGGTGCTGGGAACCAAACCCAAGTCTTCTGCAAAAACAGACAGTGCTCTTAACTACTGAACCATCTCTTCAGCTCCAACTTTCATGGAGTCATGGGTTGGTTTTCTAGCCACCATGCGTAGGTGCTGAGAATCAAACCTGGGTCCCCTACAAGAGCAGCCAATGCTCTTAACCACTGAGCCATCCTTCTAGCCCCCTTAAATGATTTTCTAAAGCACCTACTTTGTGCTGGCTTCTGAGCACAGAGATCCACACAGTGTGTTCACAGGGGCCACAATATGTGCCAGAAAACAAGCATGTCAAAATGTTGATGATAAGCCAGGAAACACAGGGTTGGGGGTCCTCATAGTGCTGAGGGGTGGACAGGAGAGGACAGCCTGGAGTTGCTGTTGCAAAATGATGTTGGGTGGGGCCTGAGACTGAGCAGCAGTCTGCTCGCAGGAGAGAGAAAGCAGCTTCCTACACCTCCTGCAGCAAGGCCTGGACACAGGGCTGGCCTTCCCAGCCAAGGCCCTCCTCCCTTCGTGGGGCCCAGGCTCCAGGAAGGGGAGGTGAGAGCAACTCAGCAGGTTTAGAAGGAGTGGGGGTGGGAGCTGCTGGGCTCCATTAAAGACAGACCAGTAGCGGGCTGTGCTCCACCCTGACTAGGCCCTAGGTAGGGTAATCACACAAACCCACATGGAAAGCCAATCCCTGGGAGCACCTATTGACATATCCTTGCTCATTTAAACCCATCTGGGAGGGATCTGGGGACAGGAACAAGAGTATAGAGAAGAAGCTGTCCCCGATGAGGTGCTCAGATGGGCGGCCCAGGCCACCTTATAGCTAAAGGCTCATTACCCAGCTGGAGACCCCCTGCTGGAGCAGCCTCAGGCCTGGCTTACATTACAAGGCTACATGAACTCTCCCCTTGGAGTGAGACTGCACGGGGCCTTGGAATAATTATGGGGCCTCAGCAGATGGTGAAGGCGGATGGGGGAGGCCGTCAGCTGTGGGACACGTGACCCGTCGGCATCTGTGCAGAACAGGACCTGGGAGGGTCCGAGCTGACTTGATGGCGGCGGGGGATTGGCACTGAATCAAGATCCAGGAATTACGGGTTTGGGAAGGATGGGGCACAGTCCAAGGGAGACCTGGTGGTGCTGCAGGAGCCCCTAGCCACTGGACACTAGAGGGATCTGTGTGTGTCCTGAAGCAAGCACAGTTCCCAGACACACAGGGCTGGGTGGCTTTGAGCACTTACTTGTCCTCCTGGGGGATCTTGGCTCAGGTCTTGGCCCTCCATGGTGCTTGAGCACTGAATGTGCACGGAATAAGGATTCAGATTTGCATCCCCACCTCCATCAACTCAAGGGAGGACCACTTCTGTTTCCTATCTGAGGCCCCTTCAGCTCCTCTCCTTTGTGATCCATGTCCTGATTCCTCCAGCTTTGCCTGATGGAATTGGCTTCAAAAAGCCCGGTGTAGCCCTCAGCCAAGACAAACACTGTCCGGCAGACCAGAAGGGTGTCAGCTCCCCAACACTGCTATGCCTAAGGAAAGCAAAGACATGTCCATTTTTCCCAAGCCCAGGCGATCAGGAGGAGGCCTGGCCTCCCTCCTGTTCAGGTTCCCCCACCCATTCTGAAAGCTGCCTTGCACTATCCTGGGTTGTGATCCCCGCTGCCCCGCTCCTCTTCTCCAGGAGACAATGAGAGAGCATTGTGGAAGGGGCCAGGGGCATCCTGCTACCCCCATGCTACCCAGCAAAAAAGCCAACTGTGCTCCTAAAATGCACCTCAACATCAGTCACCATACCTCATGTGTGTGCACATGTGTACACAGAGTAGAGGGGTGGGGCCAGGATGTGAAACCAGCCTTTCCCCCCTATTATGGCAAGACTTCTGGATTGAGGATAGTGCCTGCACTTTCAGGATGAGAGCCAAAGCACTTGATCTGAACCACTGAACTCAGTTTACTTCCCCAGCATTACTGTTCCTTTCTTAGCACCAAACTCTGGAACCTACCATACCCCTCACTTAGCTCTTTCAAAGGTCCACACAGCTCTTCCCCTCCAGCCTCGCATAGACCTTGCTCTTCAGCAGGACTCT